AGCCTGTCCACAGCCCAGCGCTCCCCAGCAACCCTACAATAACTATCCAGCCTGTCCACAGCCCAGCGCTCCCCAGCAACCCTACAATAACAACCCAGCCTGTCCACACAGCCCAGCGCTCCCCAGCGACCCTACAATAACCACCCAGCCTGTCCAGAGCCCCAGCGCTCCCCAGCAACCCTACAATAACTATCCAGCCTGTCCACAGCCCAGCGCTCCCCAGCGACCCTACAATAACTATCCAGCCTGTCCACAGCCCAGCGCTCCCCAGCAACCCTACAATAACAACCCAGCCTGTCTATAGCCTGAGGGATGACAGTTGGCTCCTCCCCTTTTGGTGACTGTTGTCCCCTCCCCCTCATACTCCCTCAAGTGACAGTTTACCCTCCTCCTCCCGCCCCCTGAGGTGACAGTTGGCTCCTCCCCCTCCCTCAGGTGACAGTTGGTCCTTCTCACCTCCCGCTTTCTGGGGCCTTTGGAGCCTCGCCCCCCCCCCCAGTTCCCGCCCTTTTTTCCTCGCTCCCTCCTGACGCTCAGGCTGAGTCTCCCCGGCAACTACTGACGCAGACACACGGCAGAGCGTCCTGATTGGCTGTCCTGCCTCAAGGGACCAGGAGGAAAGGGTAGAGCCCGGGAGAGGGCTGGGAGGAGTGTGGGGAGGCGGGGCCACAGAGTGGGCGTGGCTAGCGAGCGGGAGGAAGGAGCAGAGAGGGGGAGGGGCTAATAGGAAAGAGGGCGGGGCTATTGGGAGGGGGAGGGGCAGACAGGGAGTGACCCCCCCCCACACACCCCATCGCCTACGTTCACTCCAGGGCAGCCGGCCCCGCCCCACTGTGGGATGAGTGGGGGGCTCGCTCTCCCCCCCCCACGTCCCCTCCTTGCGGGGCCAAGTTTGGGGTGGTGCCAGGGTGCAGCGATGGGGGGTGGCCCCCCGGGTGGGGTGAGGAGCAGGGCACTGGCTCAACAGTTTTGGGTCCCGCCACAGATTTGAGTCCTGGGTACCTTCCTAGTTTGCCTATGTGTGAATCTGGCCCTACATGGGGGTGGGGCACTGTCCCCAGGCAGTCAGGTCTCCCCATGGCCCCAGGGCGGCGCTAGGGGCTGGGCTGCAGGGAGTGGGGCGGGGGCACCAAGGGGCTCTCCCCGGGCAGTCAGGGCTCCCCATTGCCCCAGGGCAGCGCTAGGGGCTGTACTGCAGGGAGTGGGGCGGGGGCACCAAGGGGCTCTCCCCGGGCAGTCAGGGCTCCCCATTGCCCCAGGGCAGCGCTAGGGGCTGTGCTGCAGGGAGTGGGGCGGGGGCACCAAGGGGCTCTCCCCAGGCCGTCAGGGCTCCCCATTGCCCCAGGGCGGCGCTAGGGGCTGTGCTGCAGGGAGCGGGGCGGGGGCACCAAGGGGCTCTCCCCAGGCCGTCAGGGCTC